TACGGTGACTCACTGTTATTTCAAATTGAGGTTCTACAGAAGAGTTTGGCTCTGACTTACTTCTTATTGTGGTAGTCTCGCTCCACCTGTAATTTGTCCTCCATCTGTTTCAGCTCATCTCCACTCTTATATTCTGCAACACACACACACACACACACACACACACACACACACACACACTTTTACATAGCTTTAAATAACATCACTGAAGTAAAGACAACTCCTACAGTTGCACTGAAGTAAAACTTGTTAATGTAAAGCAACAATCCCCAACAGGCCAAACCCTGGACCATGACAGCAGCACTGCCAAAGTTACACAGTGACTCTGTGTAGTGTGATCTCTCTGGCCTCCAATCACTTCAATAATTAACGGTTAATTCTGTCATTACAGCTGACAGGAATAATAATTAACCCCATGCATGTGTGGTCCTGCTCCGGCCCCTGGGCGTGGTTAGCTATGGTCACTCGCTCCTCAGTCATCCTCACAGCCTGTGGACCACTAACTAGACCCTTCAATCTACAGCTTAAACATACTGTGAAACATATTTTTGCAAATGACATATTTCCTGATATCGTTCTAGAGCCCTGTCCTGGTTTGGGGACTGCATGTTATCTAAACAGGGACAATAGAGGTGCATGGAATCTAGTTTGCAGAGCTTGTTGCATTGAAAATTAAACAATGACATTTAAATATTTAGCAAAACCAATTTGTCTTTCCAGATCCAACGTCTTAGTGTCTATTGATAGCCCACAGACCTCCATTGTTTTCACTAGAGGCAGACGAATGTTTCAAAATGTGTGCAAATAAAGCCAAAGGTATCTGTGTGCACAGGTAACAGCACAGGCAGGTGAGGAAATCTATCTTTTGCAACCTGCCTCCATCCTGTCAGAGCTCACATGTCAAACTGGTGTCATTATGTAACGTTTGATAGAAGCTTGGATGGTGGGCTCAGAGGACAGATAACCACAGTGCTTTTAATATGCATGAAAACACAATGACAATACAGCAGACTGTAACACTGAGCCTGGAGTGACACGCTGTGGACAGACGAGTAACAAACAACGCTTCAACAATGTTGCTGGTTTTTAAAAGCCTTTACATTAAACAATCAATTAGAACATTTTCAGTATTTTCAATGAAAAATGCAAAGACAGCGTGAATTACAGGCTTCAAAGAGAAGTTTAAATCGAGTTCATCATGACAAAGAGAAACATGAAAAGTGCTGATGAGCGTCCCGCTCTGAACAGCCCGACTGCTGCACTGCTCTTACTTCATTATTTCCAACACCAACATTGTTCTGGTGTCACACGTTCACATGTTTTCACATCATCCTTCTCAGAACATGAAACAAATATTCTCACATCATTACAGATTTCTATCAGACATGGAGCCGAAAGCTAGTCTACGTTTAGGAGACAGACAGCTTCTACTTTAAAGATCAGCCTTCAATCGCTCTGATGAAGCCTGGAGTTTGGCTGGGTCAGCTGTCCTGCTATGGCCTCAGGCTGCAGGCCGACTGCCTCCATGCACTGAGCGTTTCCTCTTCACTCACCTGTTTTCACTCATGCATTTCTATAGTTCACCTCTCTGTGCTCTCCTTACTGACGCTGCATCTGTAGGAGGACACTTCCTGTTGAAAGGGACTTCTTTCCTCGCAGTTGTTAGCTCATAGAGGATCATGTGATCGTATTACAAAGAGCCGTGAGATGATTGTTATCATGAGGTGCAGTTTAAATACAATGAAAAAAATGTTTGTTTTAAAGCACAGCTGAGAACTTTTCCACTCCACATGCTTCATGTCCCGCGCCTGCAGCGTGCTACAGCGTGCTACAGCGTTCTACAGCGTGCTACAGCGTGCTACAGCGTGCCCATAACCAGCTCATGTTCTATAAAACCTCGCCTGGTTTAATATCATAAGAGTGACCACAACATCTGTAAAGTACATAACAATAATCATAAATGCAGTCACAGTTTGTTTATATCGACAGCTGCACGACTACAGTCAAGACGATTAATCATTATCAGGATT